GGGGTTCAGTGTAGGCTAACATTTGTTCTGCAGATTTTAAAATAAATGTTTAAAGGTAGGGGCCTTGACATCACTATGCCATATGTAAATATTAAAAATTTGTAATTTTCTAAAACCTTCAGCCTACTTTCTTAATGGGACCTAGTAATCCTGTTCACTCAGCAAAATTCCAAATGCTGATGGGGACTGGGGGCATGCGGGCGAATGTTGGCACTCACCAAGCTGACAGGTGATGTCTGGTCTGCCGGTTTACTTCAGTTTGCTTTGCTGAGCTGGGTTATTTCAACCTTGCTGAAAAGGCTCCCTTCATGTTGCTTTTATGTATGAAAACGTCACTCTCATGCTCCCAGCTTTGAAAAGAAAAGCCATTTTTGAGGAATGGCAATGTGTACATTGTGCCCTAGACACTCAGGAGGTACTCACGTGTTTCTTCCCCTCTCACTTCTGAATCACATACAGGTCACTGTATTTGTCATCACCCTCTGATTTAAAGCCCTCTCCACCCTTCTCACCATTAGCCCTGGAGAAGTGGCACACTTCTGTCTCTCCCCCATGTGATACTTTATAGTACTTACTCAATTAACTGCCTCATGGCTAAGGAGCACCTAGTCCGAGCCACAGCAGATCCCAATAAATAAGGCAAATAAATGGATTAAAGGAACTTAGTTTCAAACCACTCATGGGACAAAAGTAAACTTGGCCTAACTGCACAGTAAAATGGAGGCTGGTGTTTTCACTGTCTCGGGCTAGAACATCTCGGGAGGAATGTACAGTCCACCCGATCCTCTTACATACCCAGCTCTAAACTGTAATGTACATTTCAAGAAGTACATTCCATAGCTTTAGGTCTGAGTCACATCCCTTCAGCACTGGCCAGCCATGTTTGATGTCACAAGTGTAGGTCTAAACCTCTTACAGCCCAGGAACCAACACAAACAGCGGAACACAGTGGTTCCAAACACTTCTCTGGGGACCGACTGCCCCGGGCTCAAGTGCCATGACTCAGCTACGTATCACTGTACGATGACAGGAATGCTATTAACCTCAGCCTAACCTTGGTTTCCACTTTTGTAAAAGTGAGCACAACTATATTTACCTCTTAGGGTTGCTGTGAGGATTAAACCGGTTAATTCTGATCAAGTGTCAGGTAACAGAACAACAAAAACTTAGTAAAACTGCTGTCAATTTTGACACCATACTCCAAGCCAAGGCTGGGCCTTCCCTAGTTTTTGGAACCCTGGTTAGGTAACTTACCAGGTGCCATGCCCTGTGCTAATAAGCAAGCACTTTACAGCATCATCTCATGTAATCTTGAACACACTGACTTAGGTATCAATTTCATCACTGTTTAATAAATGAGAAAACTGGGCTCTGGGAGGTGAAATATCTTAGGCAAAGGCACAAAGCTCTAGTCAGGAGTGGGGGTTTGACCCAGGCAGTCCGACTCCAGCTCCTGTGCTTTAATGACTTGTTTCTAAAACAATTTCTAGATTTCCTCTGCAAAAATAAAACAATAGATATCCTCAGCAAATGCCACAGCCCAGGTGTGGAAAATGTCACAGCAATACAAAGGGGGAGAAGAGCACAACGGAGTGTCTTCTCTAAAGACTAAAACAATACTCCCCTGAACTAAACCAACACGAGTAGGAGAAAAGGACCTCGGAGTCAGAGGAGGTTTGTTTATAAGCTGATGTTTAACAGCCACTCTTAACTGGACCTCACGGGACACCACCTGAGTACATCCTACTCATACCTAATGAAAACATTACTTCTAAAAGCAATGACTCATTGTTAAAAAATATGAAGACCAAGTCAAATAAGAACAAAATGTTCCCTGTGAGTTTCTATACTTACTCTTTTCATGCTACTTTGGCTCAAAACATTTTTAGAACTTATTTGCAGTTGTCCTCAAAATGGACTTTGACGGAATTAAGTCTCATTTCACAGTCACCTTACACTGGATGGACTGACAGACATACACACACAAAATTACCCACCTGATGTACCAGCTGGGCTCCAGACGATGCCTTTGGCCATTTCCAAAAATGGAATCCATCAAAGGAGGAGTATTCAGCCCAACAGAGGACGTACTACAGAATGCACCAGAGGAATGACTGCTAAAACCAGCTTCTTTACCTTACAGACATCTATTCCATAGAGAAACATATTCTGCTTAGGTTCCCTGTCAGTTAAAATGATGGGAGAAACACCCCAATCAAAAAGCCTACTTTGCCAATAAAATATTGCAACCTTTATTTAAAATAAAACGCATGTTGGCAAGCCTTGTGAGACAACAGGCAGACAGCATTCCCCTTTCAAGGGCCTCATTTATTTACATCAAGTTTAACACTGTTAGCAGTTCACAGTCAGACAACAGGGTGAGAGAATTAAATTAGAAAACAAAACACCTGAAAATATATTACAATAACAATTAAGAACAAACACCTGACAACACTGGCAGTGTGACCCATGACGGATGTGTTCTCAGTTAAATCCCATGTTGTCTCACTGTGTCCCCTTAGCAGCGCACAGTGCCAGGCCCTCCAGACCTCACCCTCTGCGCACCCACCACACATACACCTGTAGAGCATGACCTTTGGTATAAACATTAAACAAGTTTTGAATAATCTGAAGCATATGTTTTAGGACAAAATTCTGTCAACCACCACAAAATATTCAAACTTATTTTTGCCAAGTGAACATAAAACCGAGTTCCTCCATTGATAGTCATAGAATCAAACTGCAGAGAAAGAAGTGTGGCGTCTACCTGGGAGACAGGTTTGAGCATGGACTAACAGCTCAGGCAGCCTGTTCTTGGCAAACACACCAAGCAGGGCACAGCTTCTATTCACCAGAGGCTGATCTGATTGACAGCTTTCCCTTACCCCCTCCTTTCTTAGTGAGCACAACAGTGTACGCACACAACGTGGACACGTTCCCCTTTATACAGACCCAGGATGTGAGGGTTTTCAAACATACACCCTAAATAGCTGAGTACCACAATGTCTTTCTAGCTTCCAAATACTAACCTCTCTGAAGGACAATCAGCCTAATCAAGGTGACTTCTCCAGATCTCAGAAAATTTCTCTCATAAGGGAGTTCCAAAAACAGTGGCGATGGTGAAAAATAGCTCAGAAGGCAGGCTTATCCAGCCCTCACCTACCAGAAACATCTCTGCCTCTGGGCACTCTTGCCACTCAGAACACATGCTAAGGTACTTCTGAATTGCACAGAACAGTGGCTGGGATTCAACGCTGATGACCCTAAAGCAACACCGCATCCTGCGATATCTTCTGAATCAAGAATACATTAATTTGGCATACCTGTGTAACTGTTATAATTGTTTAAGTATCCTTATATATGAATATTTTATTAACCAGAAGTCCCATTCTCCAACTAAAGTTTATGGTGCTTAAACACATGATTTAAAACTATCTTAAGGCTCAGAAGCAAATCTAAACAAGCTCCAACCATACAAACTGTATTTCCTTTCTTTAAGTCTGCTAGCATTTGACAGTTTGTTTCCATGTCTGAAAAAATTAACTAGAATGCTCCAAGATCTCAAGCCCTGTGTGTACAGCTCAGAAGTTTGGAGTGACATGTAGGACCCAGAAACTTGCCGTTTCCAGTACAATCATGAAAAAAGAACGAACACAGAAGGTGGTACAAGGTGTGGTCTGAGGACAGTGTTGGGCCTAGCCTTTCAACTTACAGAAGGCATCTTTTCCCTTAGAGGGTCCGCAGGTCTAGGTCTGAAGATCCACTCACACCGTGTGACCGTAGGCTGAGTTGACAGGGCCTTGCCACTGTGTTCAGGGTTATTCAGCAATGAGGTTAAAGGATACTTTTTCTAGGAGAGGTAAACAATTTCAAACTTATACACAGGAGCAAAGAAATGAGTGAGGAAGGAAGGAAGGAAGGGAAGGAAGGAAGGGCCCAGTGAGCGCATCCTCACCCCACTCACCAACCAGGATGGAGAGAGTGCAAGGGTCTGCCAGGTCAGTGCCCCAAGTGGGGA